GCGCCCGCGCTCGCTACCTGCCCAGGCCACAGAAGCGGCTTCCAACTCCTCTCCCACTTCCGCCTTCCACCGCCCGCACTTGGGCAGGGTCACGTGAGAGAGCGCTGTCACCTGACCCGGAAGAGGCTGGCCGGGACCGCAGGTGTGGGCAGCCGAGGCCCGGCCGCGGAGCTTTTGCCCTGGGCAAGGCTTCCTTGTTTGTATTTTTTAAAGTGGCAGGGTTTTCTACCAGCAGGCTGGTCTCTGAGCAGTCATATGAATTGAAGGCTCACTGACTGCCGAATGCTTCATTTACCCCTCCCCACCAATCCTGTGGAGGCGGGTACTATCTTTAGCCCCACTGTACAGGTGAGGAGAGAAGTCAATCAATGAAGTAAACAGATATGACCTTCTAAGTAGGGTTGCCACACAAAATGCAGCCATGTGTCACTCTTAGCGTACATGATTGTTGTTGCTAGGTGCAGTGGTGGTGACACTCTTCCTACTCACAGAGACCCCTGTGTACGACAGAAGGAAACACTGCCGGGTCCTGTCCCGTCCTCAGAATCCTTGCTGTGTTAGAACCTTAGAGCCCATTGTTGCAGCCACTGCGTCAATCCATCTCATTGAGGGTTTTCCTCTTTCTCGCGGACCCTCGACAGCCTTAGAAATCCTTTGAGGTAGTTCTACTCTGTCCCATAGAGGTTGCTATGGGTCAGAATTGACTCAACCACAACAGCTGATGGGTATGTACCTCAAATTTTTTATGTAATAGGCTTTATGGGAGTTGGGACCACAGGCATATATGTAGTCAGATACTGCTTTCACAGATGTTATGTAGCACACGACTGTACCGGGCCACATTAAATTTTAATTCCATATAAACACGGACTACTTTTAGTATATGTCCCATGCAGTATTTAAGTGTATCCCAAATATCGCATGGATATATTTATACGAAGGACCCTTGGTAGGAACTCTGGTAGTGTAGTGCCTAAGGCACTTGATGAGTGACCAGAAGGCTGGCGGTTCAAACCCACCAGCCACTCCTCGGAAGGAAGGTTGGGCAATCTACTTCCCTAGTGATAACTGCCTCGGAAACCCAAGGAGGGGTTACAGTGAGTCGGGTCTGACTTGAGAGCACATAACAACAACAACAAAAGACCCCTGGTGGCACAATGATTAAGCACTCAGCTGCTAACTGAAAGGTTAGAACCCACCTAATTCTCTCCAGGAAAAAAGACTTGGCAATCTGCATAAAGATTACAGTCTAGGAAACCCTGTGAGGCAGTTCCGCTCTGTCCTATAGGGTTACTATCAGTTGAAATTGACTCTGACACACAATAGCAACAAATTTACACTGAAAAAAAAAAATATTGTTTACCTGAAATTCAAATTTAGTTGGACGAGTTACATTTTTATTTCTAAATCTGACCCTTCTACTCTGTGCCACACACACTGTTTTAGGCTTTAGAAATACAAAAATCCTAGCCTTCGTAGAGCATATGCTCCATAAAACAACAGTAGAAAAGCTTCAAAAACCACTCCTTGCATCTTGTAAAATGCTCCACTCCACCAAACCACCCCCTTCCCTTAATCCACAGAGTCGATAGAACCATTTGACATTAGCCAAAAACATTTTAAATCAACATTCCTTACTGATGGTCTAGGTCCTCAGCTTTGATGAGCTGACTAAAGGGTCAGCTTTTCACCTTTAATCATCATTGATTAAAATTAATACTAATTACCTAATTAACGTTAAGTACTATTTATTCCATTATTTTTGGGTCCTCAAGTTTGGATGAAACCTGTCTATGCATGTTGTTGTTGTTGTTATGTGCCATCGAGTTAGACCCGACCCATAGCGACCCCTCGTTGGGTTTCCGAGGCAGTATCACTGCGGAAGTAGATTGCCCCATCTTCCTTTCGAGGAGTGGCTGGTGGGTTTGAACCGCCAGCCTTCTGGTTAGCAGTCAAGTGCCTTAGCCACTATGCTACCAGAGCTCCTAAACCCAACATTAATCCCAGGGAATTTCTCAGTTGTGCAAACTATTGACATTGGCTGCTAATCCAAAGGTTGAAGATTTGAGTCCACCCAGAGGCTTGGCAGTCCACTTCCAAAACACCAGCCCCTGTCAACGTAATGGGGCACAGGACCCTTGGTCGGAGCTCTGGTAGCGTAGTGCCTAAGGCAATTGACTGCTAAACAGAAGGCTGGTGGTTCAAACCCATCACCCACTCCTCCGAAGGAAGGTTGGGCAATCTACTTCCCTAGTGATACTGCCTCGGAAATCCAAGGAGGGGTCGCTGTGAGTCGGGTCCAACTCGACGGCACCTAACAACAACATATCTTCCTGGTTAGGCCTGCTATGAAGGTGCGCACGCTCACAGGTAGCCCTGTCAAGGAGATGCAGACGGGACCGCCAGGAGGCGCTGCTAAGTCGCGGCTGATCTTCCGGTTCCCAGGGGCCTGTATTAGGAAGCCGCAGCCGGTTTGAACTCCGTGCGCAAGCGCGCTCTGTAGTCCAGCAACCAAGATGGCACCGGTGGAGCACGTTGTAGCTGATGCTGGAGCTTTCCTGCGGGACGCGCCCCTGCAGGTACAGAAAACTCCCACCGAGAGCAGAACCTGAGCTGACGGCCCCTAAAGGAGAGCGTAAAGGAAGGCGGGGCGGGGGGGCGGGGCGTGGTGCGCGTGGGTCTGAGCTAGGCTGGCCTTTCCGCAGGACATCGGGAAGAACATCTATACTATCCGGGAGGTGGTCAGCGAGATTCGGGACAAGGCCACGCGCAGGCGGCTCGCCGTCTTGCCCTACGACCTGCATTTCAAGGAGCCCTTCCCGGAGTATGTACGGCTGGGTGAGTGCCTCTGCCCCAGCGTTGAAGGGCGCAGACGCGACGGAACCTGCTCGGGTACGACCTGGGGTCTGGCTGCTTCATCAGCAGTTGATTTAGAAAAACACCCCTTTTGAGGAGATCATGGTGGGAGAGAGGTTCCTGGCGTCCGGAGTCGGCCAGGCCCGGCATTGCCAGTTATTAGCAGTGTGTCCTCCGCCATATCGTTCAGGCTCTCTTTGGGCCACGATTTCCTCGTCTGTTAAAATGGGAATTATAGTGCCTACTTAAGATACTGCTCTGAACATTAAATGAGGAATAATGTATCACTCAGAGTAATGCATGGCACTTTGTAAGCACTCAAGATAAAAGAAACCAGATTTCTAACTCACACCCACTTCTTTCCACTCTGTCATTCCGATAGACTGATGGTTTATAATGGAACCCAGTCTCAAAGCAGAAAAGGACTTTTTAAACAAGAATCCCTTGGCTTAGGGGTCAGTGTTGTTGTCTTGTTAGGGTTATAGCCTGAAAATTTCCTCGGTGGTTGGAAATGTTATAGGGGTTAGAGGCTGTGAGAGGATATATTGTCACCCCCATTCAGTTTGTGGCTCTGATGAAGAAAGACCTGGTGGCCTCCTGACAGATGACAGCCAAGACAGCCCTGTGCTGCAGTTCTGCCATCACATGGGCTCACTGTGACTCAGACCCAGTTCAAGGGCACACAGCCACTGCCTTCGCCCCCAACTTCCTAGCTCTGTGCTCTTCCGCATGTTATGTAACCCTTCTGAGTAAATATTAATAGTACTTGTTTTATAGGATTTGCTTAAAGATGGAATGGATGAATTTGTGGAGCTATTAACACAGTGCTTAGTAGATAGTAGGCGCTCAGTACCTTTTGGTAGCTGCTGTTATCTGCTTTTTATGTTACTTATGCTGGTGTGGGAGAAGGTATATTCCTGTGAGTGTCAGAAAATTTTAAGAGAGTTTGTCAGTGTCTCAAGAGACTAACAGTCGTAACGTCTGGCATTTACTATGTGTGAAGCACGAACATAACGAGCTCTGCTGGGTAGTGGGTACAGCATTTTGGCTGCTAACCAGGAGGTTGGCGGTTCAAACTCCCCAGCTGCATTGTGGGAGGCAGATGAGGCAATCAAGTAGATTTACAGCCTTGGAATCCCAGTGGGAGTTGGTATGACTCAATGGCAGTGGGTAGTAAAGCACAGACAAAGTTTTTTTTCCTAAGCAGAAACAGTCCAAAATTTGTTACAAAGCAACCCATTATTTTTGTTGTATCATAGACTGCAGTGGTTATTGGTTGAATTAACTTCCCATATCATTTGGAATCTACTCCTCGATCCTGTTAATCTAGAATCAGTATACTGAGAACAAAGACTTGCAGAAACTGTTTCTTCATCGGCACTTGGTGAGAATGTGACTGGAGGCCTAGCAGGCATGGATCTTTGTGGTAAAGAATACACAATCCTCACCTATGAGTAGGAAAAGTTCAAGAAATGGTTGAAAGTGTTAGATGTTTTTCTTGCAATATTGATCCTTTCATAGTTTTGGTGCTGTTTTCCTTGTGGTTGTTCAAGGCCATAGGCACCCTGCTGGCACAGTGGTCAAGTTCTCAACTGCTAACTGAAAAGGTAGGTGTTTTGAACCTACCCAGCGGCTCTGCATGAAAAAAGACCTGGTGACCCACTTCCATAACACTTATAGCCAAGAAAACCCTACAGGGCAGTTCTACTCTGTTCTATGGAGTCGCTGTAAGTTGGAATTGACTTGGTGGCACCCAACAACAACATTCAGGGCCAAATGACTTTCTGCCTTCAGCTGAAGTTGAGAATCTCTTTTGACAGTGACTGAGTTTTCAAAGAAAACCGGAGACTACCCCAGCCTCTCTGCCACAGACATCCAAGTGCTGGCACTCACCTACCAGTTGGAAGCAGAGTTTGTTGGGGTGTCCCACCTAAAACAAGAACCAGAAAAGGTAAATCAGAAATCAGGAGGATTGGTGTTTTTTTTTTTTTTAAACTTTGTTGTGAAAAATGCCAGCTGTTCAGAGAAGTAGAGGGGATAGTACAGTGAACCCATTGTCCCCACCATCCAGCTTCTGCAGTTACCAACTCATAGTTAATTCCACATTCATTTGTACCTCCCTGCAACCCCAAGGAGTTGGAACTGGGTCACACTATTGTGTCACCGATAAATATTTCTGGGTATACATCTAAAGATCAAGATCTTTTTCAGAATAACCACAAGATCATTTTTAGTCCTAAACAAAATTAATCATAATTCCTCCATATCATTAATTATTCCCATCAGTGTTCACATTTCCAATTATCTTTTTTTAAAAAAACCAGTTTGTTTGAATTAGAATCCAAATAAGGGTCATACATGGGACTGGTAAACGAGCGTCTTTTGATCCCTAGGTTCCCAGGAACAGTTGTTTAAATTTGAAGAAATGGGCAAAAAGAAAGTAAAAATCACCTATATTTCCTCTTTTTAATTTTTTTTTACATAGAGATTTCTTTGTGGAAGAAGTAAACATGAGGTGTTTTCTTTTTCCCCCCAACTCCTGTCCATTCAGAACCCTGGGTTCCTGTTGTGCTCTTAGGGACCCAAGTCCGCCAGGCTGCAGAGACTGGTGGGTTTGTGCCCAGGCCTCCTTGGCTGTATTTTCCATGCCACAGAAGTCTGACCTGATAGGTAATCAATTTCAAATGTGTGGGCAAAGAGTTGTGTGATGCCCTCTGAGTCCAGACTCTGGTGGACTCCCATCCCAGTGCTCGTTTCAAACTGCCTTCACTTGTTTTCAACCAGGTTCAGGAACCTTTCTGCCAAGGAGTCTAAATATGATGCTTGAAAAACACTTTCACATGTTGACAGCTTTGTTGGGGACAGTATTTTTATGTAGACCCCAACTTTGTGGCCACATAACTGGTAGCTGGTCTTCATTTGGCACCCACACCCATCTCTCCATGAAGATGAAAAATAAGCCTTTTCTTCAGCCCTTTTGGTACGAGTTAGCTTTGAAACAGCCTATTGTTTGACCCAGCAATTCGACCTGTAGGCATTTATCCTAAGGATAAAACCAAAGGTATGTCTAGGTTTTACAGATACCAGTGTTCATTTCTGCTGTATGTATAATGGCAGAGAACAAATGTCCCAGAGTGGCTGTCCAGTGGGGGTGGTATCACTGAATGTTTTTTTCTATTTCTTTAATAATTCCATTTTTTTTTTAATAAGAAGTATCCTTTATTTCAGTAGCCAGAGGTAAGTATTGTTATGTTCTTGAATCACCCTACTGCGCTGAATTTTCAAACTGTATTTCCTTGCTTAGAGTTGTCATTTTGTTTGATTTAGGTTAAAGTAAGCTCATGGGCTCACCATCCAGAAACTCCTCTTCTCATTTCTGGTTTCCATCTGCCCTCAGAGGTAATTCCTGACACAAGCCATGCTCATGTTCTTCCCCTGCCATTTGTCACACATCTGCGGGTTGTCTGTTTACAATGAACCCGACTCACCTGGAGTAATCTCATAGTTTGTCAGCCCTGCTGCCTGATTTCATCTGCAGCCCTCTCCATTTACAGAGTTTGGTGATTGTTTTTCTCCCATTATTCCTTTTAATTTCAGCCTAAAGCCCCACGAGAAACAGTAACCCATGGACACCCAGGCAGTGATCCTGAGAACCTAGAATTCAGTTCCTTTGTGTTCTGGAGAAACCCTTTGCCTAATATTGATTCTGAACTCCAGGAGCTGCTGGTAAGGCCCTGATTCCTGCTCTCCTAAGGACAACACAGCAGCTGCTTCCTACTGCTCCTGTGGGCCAGGAATTGATGAGTTTTCATATTTAAGCTTGACAGAGGTGAGAGTGTTCCAGGTGAGGAGGAGGAAGAAGAGAGTGGATTTGAAGAAAGGGAAGATGAAGATAGTGATGACGAGGGTGGGTGGATAACCCCCAGCAACATTAAGAAGATTCAGCAGGAGTTTGACCAGTGCCACATCCCAGACAACGTGCAGGTTGGCTGCGTGACAACAGACTTTGCCATGCAGGTGAGGCTGGGGCGGGCATGGGCCATCTGTGGACTGTGTCACACCTGTGTACAGAGCTCTATGTAAGCTTCTGGTTCCAGAAACTCTACCTGTGCTCTTTGGTAACTGTCAGTTTTGGTTGGAGGCTACAAAGTACGATTTTTAACATGCAGTATTCATGCTCGGTCAGGTACTCGGAGAGAACAGAGGAGGTGTCCAGCCCAGGGATGAGTGTGTTTGCTGTAACACAATCTGTAGCTAATGAGCAGCACAGACCACAGCACTGGAGAAACCTGGGTCCTTGTCGTGGCTCACACATCATGACAGGCATACAAAAGCTAACGTTTCCTTAGCAAAAGCCCTTTACGGGCTGAACCAGGGTTTGTGAGGCTGCCTTAACGGGGGTTGCACAGTTCGTGGTCAAAGGAGATGTCATTTTGCTGGCAGTTCACCTGTGCTTCCTCTGTCGTTTGTAGAACGTGCTGCTGCAGATGGGGCTGCATGTGCTGGCGGTGAACGGCATGCTGATCCGAGAGGCCCGGAGCTACATCCTGCGCTGCCATGGCTGCTTCAAGTACGTAGCCAGCAATCTGGACCCAGTGCCCCTCTGTCAAGCACGCTCTCCCCGTCCCTCCCGTGACTTCTTGACCAGGAACTCTGCATTACGTACACATACTCCCTCTACCTCTTCATTCCTTCTGGGCTGGGCTTTGCCTTCACCAAGGCACTGGCATCTCTAGGGCAGAGGTCATCAGTGACCTTCCAGGTGATGTTTCCAGTCTTTATCTTAATGGCATTTGGTTAGAGGTCTTTGCTCCAGAATAGAAGAGCCGTCATTCTTTAGAGAAATGTCTGTGGATGGGATGGTGTCTGGGATTTGCTTTGAAATAATACACAAGTGGGGGAATGGGTGGAGGTAGCGATGCAAGGAAACTGGCTGCAAATTGATAGTTGTCCAAGCTGTGTGATCGTCATGTGGAGGGGGTCGCTGGGCTCTTTGGCCTCCTTTAGTCTGTCTGAAATTTTTTATTTTAAAAAACAGCAGACTCTAGATCAAGACTACTTGAGTTCAGACCCAGATTCTGTCTCCTCGTGTGTGTGGTTTTGCAAAAGCTGCCTCCCTCCTCTGGTTTCACATTCTTCTCACGGTTGCAGAAGTTATGAGAAACGGGCACTAACTGAAGGCTTTGCTTGGTGTCTGGCACAGAGGCGGCCTCGGGTAGGACAGTTAGATGACGACCCACCGCCTCCTGTCCCTCTCTTTTCTGGCTCTTGAATTGATTCTCCTCGTGGGGCTGGTGTTCGGCAGGAGCCCTCAGGCCCCAGGGGACCCTTTACCTGAAGAGCACCAATTGTGTTCTGTCATGACCTTGCTATTGAAGCATGTTGAGCACTTGTCCTGCGGTAGCTTCCGGCCGTTCCATGGACTCAGTCTGGGTGGCTGTTACAGACTGAATTGTGTTCCCCAAACATACATGTTGGAATCCTAGCCTCTGCTTGTGCGTGTGGCTGCTCTGATGGTGCCGCCTGTATAACGTGGTGATACACTCTTGGCACCTCCAGGGCTACTTCCTGGCTAATACCCATGCTGACTGACACTGGGGACATGGTAGTTCAAGCTGTAGGAGTAAGTCCCTGGAGAAAGTACAGCACGATTAAGAATACTTTTCTCTGCAGCCCGGCTGCCTGGGTTTACAGCTGCCACTCAGCACGCTGCCTTATCTTGCCTCTGTTTCCCTCTGTGTATCTGAAGTGGGCATAGTTCCAGCCTCCTGGGATCGTTCTGCTGGGACACTTGTGGAATGATGCCTCCCAGCCAGGATGTGACGACATTCAGCTCATTTTCACATTTGCTGCCGTGCTCTGTGTGTCATTGCCATCCCCCTGGGAGGAAAGCTTGCTCCCTCAGCAGGAGGCCCAGTGCCGTCTGTATTCCGTGGGCCTGGCGGTTCAGCCTTTCCCCCACACTGGTCATTTTCTGCTCTGAGGCCTGTGCTCTGGGGATGGGATTTGCTGCCTGTGGCTCTATCACAGACCATCTCCTTTTGTGTCTCCCAGGACAACATCTGACATGAACCGAGTATTCTGTTCCCATTGTGGAAACAAGACCCTAAAGAAAGTGTCCGTGACAGTCAGTGACAATGGCACCCTCCATATGCACTTTTCCCGTAACCCTAAGGTGCTGAACCCTCGAGGCCTCCGGGTAAGTCATCGTCTCTCTGCCAGTCCCCAGCAGCAGGAGCTGAGGTTGGGAAAGTGAGACCTTTTAACGCCAGAATCGAAATGAACACAGCACCAAAAACCCCAGTCATCCCTACAGGTAGTTACCATGAAGCTGTAAACATGGCACCAAGAGGGACAAGGAAGGTGAACAACACAGCTTCCATGTGAGTTTCCTGGAGAGGTCTGCTGTTTAATTAGAGATAACCAATAATTCCAGGAAGTAAGCGATAAGGGCAACATACGCAGGTTCAAGAAGATAGATCACGGGAGATGGTGGGAGTCGGTTTTGTGCAGGGGTCTGAAGGATGGGCGGGATTTCCGGAACCAGCTGGGGAAGGTGCCGACTAGAGAGAAGAGGGAGAGGCTGTAACTAACCTTGCGCAAGACACCTTCATATATTTTATTTATTTAACTCTTACTTTGAAATAATTTTAGATTCAGATTTATAGAAAAGTTGCAAGAGTTATACCAAAAAAAGTCCCAATTACCATTGACCCAGATTCCCCATTGTCGATCACTGTGGTTTTTTTTTTCAGTTTGAGAATAAGTTGCACACATGATGCACCTTCACCCCTACTGTATTTCTCTGCAAATGGTGTATGCAATCATGTAACACGCGGAGCACACCTAGGAAACTAATGCGTGAGCATAGTGTACAGTTGGGAAAATGTGCATTATTTGCATAAAAATACGGTAATTCTTGTGTGTAGAGTATTTCCTAAAACAAGGACTTGATCTTCTAAGGATACTACAGTTACCAAAATCAAGAAGCTTAATCTGTAGACCTTACTCAAACTTGGTCAGTTGTTCCTCAGATTTCCTTTATAGCAAAAGAAAAGGGCTGTGTCTGTGTATAGGAGCTACATGTTGTGTTTGATGCTTCTTTTGGCTTTTCTGAGCTGGAGCACTGTCTTTTGCGTGAGGTTTCCTTGTGATTAGACGCAGGCTATGCATTTTAGGCAGGATCACTCTGTCTGTCTGTTACTTGAGGGTATATACTCAAAACACAGTGTTCAAACAGGTTCGTTTGTTTTTTCCTTTCTTTGGTGTGATTAAGTTTTAAAACTACAATTAGGTTCATAGTTTCTGTTTAAAAGTACTTTTTGTGTGTGTGTGTGATTTGGATGAAAATTTAGAGAGCAAATTCACTTTCCATACAGCACTTCACATACACTTTGTCTCATACACACTTTGTCTCATGACACTGACTACAATTTACCACAGTGCAATAGCTGCCCTCCCACTTCCTCCCAATAGTTACCTCTTCCCTGTGTCCATCCCTCCATGCACTCCTGCCCCCTGAGCTGTCTCCCTGGGCATAAGCAGCCCTTTTTTCTCCCATGATTGTTCTCTCCAAGGAGTGTATCTACCTAACATAAATGTTCAACTCCTATGCCTGTCTTTTGTTTGGCTGGAAGCCACAGGTATGGGTTCAATTTCAGACGTGAAGGGCAGCTAGGGGCCATAGTCTCGGGTTCCAACAAGCTCTATCAGACGAGCAAACCTGGTCCTCCTTTTTTTTTTCCCAAATGATTTTGACTTTTGTTCCACATTGTTCTCCCTCTCTATCCAGGATCTACATAGATCTTCCTCCGAGTGATTGACAGTGGTAGCCAGGCACCATCTAGTTCTTCTGGTCTCATAGTCATATAGGCTGTGTGGATTGCATGGTGTACCAGCTGCCAGGACTAATTGTTACTATGAATCTTTGGTTTTCTTTATTCTTCTTTGCTCTGGACAAGGACATGTATATGTTGTGTTTTCATTGCATCTAGATGGCTGCTTGCAAGCTTTTCAGATCCCAGTCACTACTCACCAAAGCAGAAGGTGAAACAGCATTTGGTGTAGTATGTTATGCCAATTGAGCTTGATGTCCCCTGTGACTATGGTCCCGAGCCCACCAGTTCAACTACTCAGTCCCTCTGCGTAGCTGGCTGTGACCAAGAAGTGACTACAACCTTGTCCCTTGTCAGCTCTACTATACACTTAGGAATTCTTACAGATCATACAAATAAACTTACAGGACCATTATCTGCCAACCCTATATATTATGGTCTTGGGTACACTCCCTGCTTCACAGACATACCTAATAGTTCAGCCTGTCTACCCATCTATCCACCCGTATACCCATGTTTGCCTTCACTGACAATGCAGTACTGTATGTGCAGAAGGGTTCCTCATTGTTGTAAGTACCTCTCTCTGTCTTCCTCTTCCTCAGTGCCACCATGCGGATCACTAAAATTTGGTACGTTGCCCTTCTCTTCACCCAAATCAGTACTTACCTCTACCTATCTAACAGTGTTCCCTACCCTTCCCTCCCACCCCTGGTAACCAACAAAGAAAATTTTCTTCCATAGATAAACCTTTCCTTGACTTTTACAATAACGGACTAATACAATATTTGTCCTTCCGTGATTGACTTATTTCACTCAGCATAATGTCCTCCAAGTTGATCCACATTATGTGGTGTTTTGCAGATTCTGTATTATTCTATAGGATTGCATAGTATTCCATTGTAAGTACCACAATTTAGTTATCCATTCCTCAGTTGATGAACACATATGTAGTTTCCATCTTTTGGCTGTTGTAAAAAGTGCTGCGATGAACATGGGTGTGCATATGTCTGTTCTTGTCCTGGTTCACTTCTTTAGGATATATACCTAATAATGAAATGGCTGGGTCAAATGGTATTTCTAATTCCAACTTTTTAAGGAATCACCATACTGCTTTCCACAGTGGTTGTACTATTTTACAGTCCCACCAGCAGTGTATGAGAGTCCCAATCTCTCCACA